CAGAGTCTGTTAAATGTCACAAGCACATGACATTTGAATAGCAACTGTGCTGTGAGGACCCCGACCTGAAGTCCTGCTCATGTGGCTTGTCCAGGTCCTAAGAGGATGCCGATGGAGGGAAAGGGCAATAAATCCGGGCACATCCTGGCTGCTGCCTCTGCTCCAAAGAGAAGGAAGCTACAGGTGTCTGGTGTGGGGAGAGGCCCAGGGATCAGGATAACCTGGAAGGAAGCCCCTGGAGGCAGAAAATGGAAAGCGCCATCTGGGTGCACTTTTAAAAAGCAGGGTGGGGTGGGTAGCAGATAGGGCCGGGGCGTGCGGCCGCCTCCCCGCCCCGCGCCCGGCGCCTCCCCGCCCCGCGCCAGGCGCCCGGCGCCTTGGGAAGCGCGGGGGGCGGGGCCTTGCGGGGGCGGGGCGCCCCCCGGCGCCCCCTCCTCCACCTACCCGCGGCGGCGGCGGCGGCAGCAGCTCTCCGGAAGCCGTGCCCAGTGGCTGGGCATCATGGGAATGGCACGGCCGAGTTCCGGGGGAGGCGCGCGGCCCGGCCGGACCCCCGCCCACGAGAGCGCGCCCACCTGCCGCAGCCCGCTCTGGCCCGCCCTCGGGACGCAGGGCCGGGATCAGCGCCGCCTGGCCTGGCCGCGTCCCCTCCCGGTAGGGGCCCTGGCGGGCCCGGTGCGCGCTCAGGGCTCGGGCCGGTGCGGCGAGGCTGAGGCGTGGGAAAGCGCGCGGGGCCGCTGGAGACCGATGCTGTCCTCAGCGCCCCCGATGGGGTGGCCTCCGCGTCCTGCAGCTGGCGGAGGCGCCTTCCTCGCCCAGGTTTGCTCAGAGTCCGTGGTGAGCAGGGGGTGCGTGTGCTGGAAGCAGCCCCCCCAACCCCCAGCTTGGGGCTGGCTGGCTGCTTCACACACCTTAGTTCTCTTGGGCTGCACCCCACACTTAAAGATGAGGACCTCGAGGCTGAGAAAGATCGGGCAGCGGCCCAGGGGCACGCGGGGGCGCAGTGGAGTGGAGGCTGGAGAACCCCCAGGGAGCACCCGGGGACACCGGCTTCTAGGAACACGCCCCGCGGTGAAGTTGGTTCGGTTTGCTCTGCTGTTCACTGACCATGTGACTTTCTTGCTGGTTTGTGCCTGGCTTGCGGTGTTCCAAGGGCTGCTGCTGCCGGCAGGGAAGGAGCCCGGCCCACCCTGGGGGCTCGCTGGTGCCCACGCTCGGCTCGGAAGGGGCAGATGAAAGGGGTTTCTGTCCTGTAAAGAGCTAGGATCTGACAGGATCCAAAGCAGACTCCTTCATAGAAAAGGACGCAGTATCTAGGCTTACCAGCCGGGGGAACTCGGGGAAGCATCTCAGGGTCACGAAACCCATTAAAACGTTTTAATGCCTCAGTGAATTTTTTTCAAAAAGTAGGGTTTTTTTCCTTATAATAATATTCATCAGCAAGACTCGGGTGCTTGATCTAGTAATGAATAGCGTCGCCACCCAGCAGTGTGAGCTGTTAACATCCGGCGTGTTCCCGAGCAGTCTTCAAGCCAGTGCTGTGACACACTATGATGTGTCCTTGGAACTGCTCCGAGCATTTTGCCAGAGTGGATTCCTCGAAGACAGCCTGCCCGGAGCCTCTTGACAAATGCCCTCCGGAAACGCAGATCCAGCTTGGGCCGGTTCAACCTGCAGCAAGCGGCTGTGTTTTCCTGCCTTGCCAGCCCTGAATCCTGCCACCCCACTCCGTCTTTGCGAGCTAATCGGTAAAACAAGCCTTTTTGTCGCTTTGTTTTTAATTTTTGTAACTGATGCTGATGTGGAACATCTCTTCATTTTCTTATAAACCATTTGGAAAATGGCCTGTGTCCCTGGCTCGTTTTTAATTTTCCTGTTGGGTCGTGTGTCTGTTGCTGATCGATTCTGAGCGCTTTGGGTGGTAAGGATTTCAACCCATCGCTGCCCTATGTCCGTGTGGGTTGCACTGATGATTCCCAACTTGCTGGTTCCTTTGACTTTGGGTTTAGTGGTTTTGGTCGTTCCGCACAAGTTTTGCATGTTTCTGTAGTTGAATCAGATTCCTTGGATAGTTTCTGGCTTTGGGGAAGGCCTAGGATAGACCTTCCTACGTCAAGATTTCATAAATCAGTGGATAAATTTCAAATTAAGAGGACAGTTGGAGATGTGGGTGTAGGCCTTCTGTGGGATTCTGTAGGATGCCCGTGTATGGGGTGAAAAGCAGTTTCTTAGGAAAAGAGCACTTTTGTTTTTGAGACAGCCTCACGCAGGCTGACCTTGAACTGGCTCATGCTGTCCTTGCACCTCTGCCTCAGTGCTGCGAGCACAGGGCTGCCCCTCCCCACTGGGAGAGCGCTCCACTCCTGCTTGTACTTCTTGACCTGTAGATACTAGTTTTTGTTTTTGTTTTGTTTTCTTGTTCAGAGGCCTCATCTCTGCCTTGTGAGGGACATCTGACATGTCCAGGCTCCCTTGTCATGAGAAGCACAGGCTGTGGGGTTGGCCCCCCCTCCCCGCATCCCGTTCAGATCCCGGCTGAGCAGAGTTGGAGTCTCCTAGGACCTGCCCAAAGGTCACCCTCCCACGGTTCTTGTTATGCTTATTTCCCACCCGGGAAGTGGGGGACCCCACCATCTCCCCTGTTAACTGACCCCCCAGAGCAACAGTCTGCCTCTGCTGTCCCCGTGGGCAGGGTGAGCACACAGAGGCACCTGGGCAGGCTTCTGGCCCAGTGTGAACCCTAGTGCCCCTTGGGGAACCTTCCTGCGACCTTTGCCTAGGAAGTGGGGTGGCCTCCAGGAGAGAAGGACTGGTGGGCCCCTGATGAGAAAAGCCAGAGGTTCCTGTTCAAATCGACTTGCCTCTGCAGAGTAAAGAACTCCCATGAAGGGAACTTCCTTGTATCTGAGCAATCTGCACAGAAGGGGCTGGGGGCACTCAGCCCTCGCAGGCGTGGAGCCCCATGCAACAGGCGAGCTCTGCAGAGTCTGTTAAATGTCACAAGCACATGACATTTGAATAGCAACTGTGCTGTGAGGACCCCGACCTGAAGTCCTGCTCATGTGGCTTGTCCAGGTCCTAAGAGGATGCCGATGGAGGGAAAGGGCAATAAATCCGGGCACATCCTGGCTGCTGCCTCTGCTCCAAAGAGAAGGAAGCTACAGGTGTCTGGTGTGGGGAGAGGCCCAGGGATCAGGATAACCTGGAAGGAAGCCCCTGGAGGCAGAAAATGGAAAGCGCCATCTGGGTGCACTTTTAAAAAGCAGGGTGGGGTGGGTAGCAGATCCACCTGCATTTCTGAGTGACCATGAGTGTGACGATGTCTGGAATGTGACGCTGGGAGGAAGGAGACAGACAAACTTTTTAAAACCACGCACATTGCCCTCATGTACATAAATCGACTCTGGAAATGTTCAATGGCAGCACATGAACATCCATGCATGCCAGTGCAGCCATCTGCACACTTACCTGTCCTGGGGGTCACAGACCTGCCACACATGGGGGGAACTGCCCCCCACCCCCCTCCCCAAGCCCACAGCAAGGGGAGACAGCCCATTCCACTGAGGTCAAAGAAACTCCGACCAGCCGAATTCAATCTTTGGAAATTCTATTTCTGTGAAACGGTGTTTAAAACCTTTTTCTTCCGAAATGACTTTCAATGGCTTCGTTCAGTTTTGTTCAGGGTCAGGTCCTTAGAATTTTCCTGGCAAGGGCCGGGTCAGTGGTTCCAGTGCCTGCCTGGAAAGCACAAGGTCCTGAGTTCTATCTCCGGTACCAAAACAAAAAAAGAATTTTCCTGGCAAGGTTTTTACCTAATTTATTACTCACGACTTCAAGCGACAACTTGACTTTCAGATGATCTACTTAGAAGGAGCATTTTAAGCTAACTCAGAAAATAAGCTTCCAGAGATAGAATTATTCAGATAAAATTATCCAGGGAGGATGAGGACATCGCACTTTGGATTTATGAAAGATGGGGATACTTTCCAGGTTGGGGTTTGAGAGGGAAATTATTCTCTCATTGAGTCTGCAGAAAAGAAATTGTGTGAAGAGTCTTCTGCTTAGGAGATGACTGTAAAGCTTGCACCTATGGAAACTGGGCATGAGGTTCTAGGGGGATGGGGCAGGGTGACCCCTTGCCAAAGGTGGAAACCTACTGGGCAAAGGCAAATGTGACAAAGGCCAGACCAAGACAGGAGCCCTGTGCAGGTGAGGCCCCACCCAGGTGGCCAGGGGAGGTGTGCGGCGGCTTGGCCTGGGGTCCCTTGGGAAGGACTGGGCAGCGGGGGCAGGTGGGCTGTTTGGGGGCACCGTAAAGGCTACAGCTGGCCCCCAAGGGCTCTGGAGCCAAGGCAGCCCTCAGAGGACCCCCCCACCGAGGCAAGTGGTCAGCCCTTTGCAGCGCTGGCAGAGGCCGCTGGACATGGTGCCCCTGCCCAGGAGCATGTGTCAGGGCCCATGGCCGTCCTAGTTGTGTGCTGTTAGCAGGCTGTGCTCCTGGCCACCAGGGACTCTCCATTGAGGGGGCCCTGGCCAGCTGTCCTGTGTCCACCATGCCCCTTCTAGATGTCCTTTCTGAAGCCACCACTGCACCTTTTACTTCAGAAACTGCCAGGAGCGGGCTCCTTCCCTATTTAGGTGAAGAGTTTGTTAGCTGGTTCATCTTTCTCAGACGTTTCATCCAGGTTGCATTCAGTGGGAGAGGCTGCAGAAAATGTGCTAGGAATTCTAAGAGTATAGGAAACTTGAAATAGAAATGTATATGAAAGCCTGAAATAGAAATTTAACAGACGGGT